ACTTATTTTGGGGGGGGGGGGGGGGAAGACAGGCACCTGTCTTCAGGAGAGAGTTCAGAGCTGCGCATCCTAAAGTGAACAAAAGCACCTAAGCTCCAGAAAGGAACAGGATTTTACAGGCACACAACATTCCCTATTGGCTAATTTTAGATGGCTTTCCACTAAGCATGCTGACTTCAGCCAGTTCTCTGCCCAGCATGCCCCATTTTAAGGATATTACTCTACCTACCAAATTTATAAGGAACCTAGATCTCTAAAATATAGTCCTGGGCTTCACCCCAGAGGTTGAGAATGTTAGGCATGTTAGTCCTTCATTGGAGCTATCCTTAGGTCTCAAAGCCAAAGGTACTGGGGATGTATTGGGGCATATAGACCATGACCCCACAAAGGCTTAAGTATACGTGTAACTTCACTTACATTAAATTGCCCCATTATTCACATGAGTTAAGTTATATATATGAATCTTTGCAGGATCAAGCCCTAATGTGTAGCACAAAGCTAGCTACTATTACTAGAGGGGAACTAGTTCATCTGCCAAGTCTCAAAATCAAATATACGTCCTAAGTGGTTCCCTACAGAATCTGAAATCTCCAGATTCTGAGGCCTTAAAACTCAAGGTAGCTGGTAGGAGACAAGGTACACTGATGATACACAATCACTTCTCAATTGAAAACTCAGAGGCAGATACCAGCCTGGAAAGTGAAAGGTGGTGCAGGGAAACTGACACAAAAATTCACAGCTATTTAGATAAGCCCTAAATTAGCAAGTCCAATTATAGGGTGGGGAAGGGGGAAGGAAGGTTAGAGGGGGAAGAACGAAGAGAGATACAGACAGCTGAAGCTGCTTAAAATAAGAATAAGAGTGTTACTATGGGTAGTTTAGGATCTGACCTTTTCCATTCTTCATTTACTTCTAAAATGAAGACAGACAATATGTAAGTTTGCAGATCAAGGGCTGTATTCTCTATATCAGTGGTCTCCAACTTTTTTGATCGCACACCCCTATCAGTAAAAATTTTTTGAGCACGCACCCCCAGTATATGTATACTTATTTATTTATAAATTATATACATGTACCTCGCGTACCGTACATGACACGTGACCGTCTGACATACAGACCAAGTGAGGGTGCCAGTGTCAATCCGTATATTAAATATTAGTAAAGCTTAATTTCTTTCTTATTTTTTTAGATAAAAATAAAGATAAATAGAAGTTCTAATATTTTATTCCCACACCCCAATGGATCATCTTGCATACCCCACTTTGGAGACCACTGCTCTATACCACAGCTTGAGGGAAATGCATTTGGCTGGTCTTGATTTTCCTCTCAAAGAATACAAAAGCAGAGCCTGGGTGTTTATATGCTTTAAAGGAGGAAAAAACAAGAGGACTGACTTACAAAAACAACAGCATTTGCAAGTTGTTGAACCAAAACATGCACCATTATCCCCACATTTTCTAGGAAACACATACTTGTGTGACAGAACACATCATTAACCTTTGGTGTGTTACATATTTACAGCAAAATAATGAAATGCAACATACACAGTGCACAGTTATCTCAGCACCCTTTTTCTTTCACCAACATGTACAACATGGTCACAGCAAAAGTTTGATCCAGGTGACCCTTGTGGTCCTTTCCAATCCTATCCTTCTTTGATTAAAGAGGAAATCAATACCAACCATTACGTAAATTATTTTGATTTACCAAGTTTAACATTAACAAGATCCAGCAAGAAAAAAGTCAGAACAATAAGTCAGAGTCTTTCCTTTGTGTTTCCCTGCCCAGTGTCAGACCCTGGATACAGTCTACACAAACTTCTCCTGTGAGGAACAGGAACTACTGCTCTGTCACTCCACTCAATCTCTCAACATTTCAGTGATTTTAGATGTTTTGGGGAAGTAATAAATTACTGAAGCAGAAAACGTCTTCTAGAATTTTAACATTTAGAAGCAATTTGTAAGTCAGAAAAGCGACTGCCCCATGGCGTGCTGTAGCCAAACCTGGAACACGCAACTTTGTTATGCATGTCCAGAGAAATGTTACTAACGTGCACTACAGTGCCAATCATTAGCTACAACATATACACATTTGCTAAAAATTAGGGAAAATATGACTTGCCATATATAAAATAAAGGATATAAAGTGATTCCACAAAAGGGCAAATACAACACATCTGCCTGGAGATTTGCTTTTGCTTTTAGGGGATCAGCTACAAAATACAAAGGCCTAACTGCTAAGGGAGCTGATCAGTGTTGAGGTACATCCTCCTCCTCCTCTGTGAGTTCAAACAGCAATATTTTTTTCCTGTTACAGGTACAAGCTGAAGTGAAGAAGGAGAAGTGACACTGCAGAACCAGCTGTACCCTAGTATGGAAAGGAAGTGGGGGAAGGGAACTACACCATTTGGGAAAGGGAGGATCAAGAGAAACTAACATGACCCCTCCTGCCATCCAGCAGGAACCTCTAGCAACAGGCAAATGTCTCCCAACAAAGCTGAAGAAATGCACAGGACTAACTCTCCCTTAAGTACACATGCGCACACACATGCACACACACAAATCACATGGGAACAAAGTGCACGCACACCCCCCCAATTCACATGGGGACAAAACGCACTTGTGTGCACACACACACACAATTCACATAGGGACACAGTGCATGCGTACACATAGACACACACGCACATACACACCCCCAATTCACACAGGGACAAAGCACATGCCCCCCACCAATTCACATAGGGACAAAGTACTCACACACAAACATGCATGCACACACACACGTCACTTCACACGGGGACAAAGTGCACACCCCCCCCCAATTCACACGGGGACAAAGTGCACACCCCCCCCCCAATT